ACACTAACACTGATTGAAATTTACTCTCGTATTAAAGATGACCATGCTGTTGAATTGGCAAGAATACTTATTAATTTACGGGATATTTTAGAACTTAAAGAGTTTGAAGAAAATCGACAAGCCGCAGTGGTCGCTCTTGTATGTGGAAGTCCCAAGATCACCGTACCGTATGCATATTATTCAAAAATGCACACTGTGGTTATAGTTTACACTTTTTGCACGTACCACTCATTATTTAACATTATTGAACTTTAGATTTATCATTCAACAATTTTTCGAAACGCGATACTCATTATCAGACAAGCTCATGATCCTGTCTGCATTATCATCAGCTGCAAAAGAATTATCTGGACTACAGATAGAAGAGGTGAATAAATTTGTGAAAGTGATTATTTCAAGTTTTCTTACATTTATTTTATTTATATATAAAGGGTATACCTGCCAAAAAAGAGATTTCATCTGTAGATTTAATTACTCAGTCAACAAATGATCTCGGCTTAATAACTAAAAATGCCTTAAGTAAACCGGCACCAGATAAAATACGTTGGTTATCACGAAGACCAAAAGTGGAGTATGCGCGTCTTAATTCAACAAAAAAGAATAGATTTAACGAATTGGCAGCAAAAACTTTTTTCTTCCCTTTATTAGCAGGGTTTTGGGTGTGGTCTCGTAATCGGTTGGTGCATTTTTTTATATTATTATTATTATTATTATTATTTATAAATAAGCATGTATACTTTTTCTAGCGATCAAAATGGAAGTTTATATGAACCTGTACTAGTGCATAGATATGTGGCAACATTAGCGGTTTTTGTTCAGTGCTCTAGTGAGTATTTAACTTTCTATAAATTAGTTAAATTTGCTTTTTTCACATTATTTATTTGATTTTCTTTTATAAGCAAATACTGTTGATATTATACAAATCGACAGAGAATTTTGGGATTTACTATTGTCTTTAAGATATAATGATGATCCAACTATTTTATCATCATTATTATTTGGTATCAATTCTATACTTAATTCATTATCGGAGCGCGAATTGGCAGAAGACTTTGGCAAAGAATTAGTTGAAACACAACAATGGGTTAATTGTATGTGTATATTATTTTTTTTTTAGTTATTTAGTTATTCTGTTTATTTAACCAGTTTTATAGTTACTAATTATAATGATTTTGAAATTTAAAAGCGCTCTTAGAAAATCGGAGTAATGAAAATATCCAGCCTATGTTAGTTTGGATATTAGCAAAAATTCAAGGGGTTGTATCAAACTATCAAAGATTATTATTAGGCGATTTATTACCACTAACATAATACACTTAATGAATTAATCA